CGCTAAGAAGGGGAGCAAACGTATTAAGAACAGGTGCCTTGAAACATATACTGTGCAGATGTTTCTTCCCTGCAGTGACTGTGTCAAGCAACAAGGATGGACCGGCCTCTGGCACGAAATATTCTATGATGTAGAAAACAGGGCCTTTAAAATTATCCAGCTTTAAACTGTCCAAGGGACTCAGAAGAATTCTAGGAAGGTACTCAAAAGTACAAAGGTGGTGAGGGAGTACCCTGTATTACTCTTTAAAGAACAACAGCAAAAAAATATGTAAAATAATTATGAAAAAAATCAAAGTTATATTCACTTATATTTTCCTAATTCCCAGTGAATTAAATATTTTGGATAAGTATATTAAACTTTTGTATTTCTTCCCTCATGACTTTCTTTTTCATTACTATCTCAATTTTCTTTAGGACTTTGTATTTTAAAAATAATTTTGTTATATATATATATATATCTGTATATATATATATATATATATATATATATATATATATAAAATAAAAGAGAAAGATGCTAATTAACCATACCTTCGCTACACCCAAGCCACGCCCACCAGCCAATCAGAGCGATTATATGCAAATTAAACCAACCAATATGGCAGCCCACAGCCATGGAGCTGGATCAAGCAGGAGGCTTGGTTGCCATGGCGATGGAGGAAGCCAAGTTTCCCACCTGCTCTGGCCGGCTTTTGCCTCCGCAAAAGGCAACAAAGTTTATAAGAGCTAAATAAATCCCAGATACCTGCTTCCAGCCAGCCTCCAATGGGAGCTTGGGTAGCTGGGGGCTGTGGCCAGCCTGTAAAGAGCCAGCAGCCCCTCACCCAGACTGGCCAGGGACCCCAGCAGGATCCTTCACCCTGAAGGTGTGTGGCCAGCCTGAAAATGACTCTCAGCCCCTCACCTAGGCTGGCCAGTCACCCCAGCGGGGACATCATTGATGTTTCTATCTCTATATCACTTCTCTCTCTGAAAGCACTAAAAACATATTTTTTTAAAAATCCCAGTACAAAAAAAAATAAATAAAAATAAAATAAATAAAGAAATAAATAAATCCCAGTACTATGGAATTTCTTAGACAACTAGTTATAAAAAATCAAAATAACCCACTGGGGATGTCATAAGCCCTTTACATTCTCATGTTAAAGAAAAGCAATGTCCAGCACTTTTGCGTCAGGCACTGCTAAACAGGATTGTTATCTTTTGATAAACATGAATTACCAAATTCATATCACTGCAAGGAAAGGAATATAAAAAGGTACACTTTCTACCATCCTCTTACTAAAAGACGCCAGCTGCTGATTTGACTCTCTTCAACCATGAAAATTGTGGTTTTTCTCTTCATTTTATTTTTCTTACTGGTCCCATTGCCACCAGGTAAAAATGGAAATATTATTTGAGTAGGTGAAATATCTTTCTGGAGAGAGAAGTCATGTTTGATGTTAACTGGGGAAAAAGAGCGACTGGATTGCCAAAGGAGTGGTTTGTGATGGTCGCAGGAATGAATTTCGAAGGGACTTGTGATCTTCCTAAAAAGTGAGGCTCCTTGTTAGTTATATCATTGTGTGGGAAACAGTTTAAGGACTTGAGCAAATGCTTTGTTCTCAGTATGGGCTGGCTGGTGAAAAAGATGAGTTAGGTAAAGTATCAAAGTATAATCATTTGAATCCCTGGAAAATAATGGGGCATTGTGTGTAGTACAGGAACAGTGGGTTTTCCACTAACAAGAATGATAGATTTGGCTAAATTCTGTTGCATAATTTACTTTAAGAATTCTCATTTTTAAAAGTTTGGTGTTTTCACTGATTTAGAGTCTAAAAACATCTTATTTTATTTTGTTTTATTATATATACTAAAGGCCAGGTTCACAAAAATTTGTGCACTCAGGGATCCCTCAGCCCAGTCTGTGCCCTCTCGCAGTCTGGAAACCCTCAGGGGATGACCACCTGTTGGCTTAGGCCTGCTCCCCGGGGGATTGGGCCTAAGCTGGCAATCAGACATTCCTCTGGCAGCCTGGGAGCCCTCTGGAGATGTCCACTTGCCAGCAGGAAGCAGGCCTAAGCTGCAGTCGGACATCCTAGCACTTCTGAGGAGACGGGAGAGGCTCCCACCACTACCCTGTACTGGCAGCTGGCATCCTGGCTTGTGCCTGAGCAGAGCTTCCTCTGTGGGAATGCTCTGACCACCAGGGGGCAGCTCCTGTATTGACTGTCTGCCCCCTGGTGGTCAGTGTGTGTCATAGTGACCAGTCATTCTCAGTCGTTCTGCTGTTAGGGTCAATTTGCATATTACCCTTTTATTATATAGGATAGAGGCCTGGTGCCTGGGTGGGGGCTGGCCTGTTTGCCCTGAAGGGTGTCCAGGATCAGGGTGGGGATCCCACTGGGGTGCCTGGCCAGCCTGGGTGAGGGGCTGAGGGCCGTTTTCAGACTGGCCACACCCTCTTTAGGGTGGGGGTCCCCACTGGAGTGCCTGGTCAGCCTGGGTGAGGGGCTGATGGCTGTTTGCAGGCTGGCCACAGCCCCTTAAGTGTGGGGGTCCTCACTGGGGTGCCTGAACAGCCTGGGTGAGGGGCTGAGGGCCATTCAGGCTGGCCACACACCTTCAGGGTGGGGGATCCTGCTGGGGTGCCTGGCCAATCTTGGTGAGTGGCTGATGGCTGTTTGCAGGCTGGCCAAGCCCCTCAGCAGGGACCCTCACCCCATGAGAGTGTGGCCAGCCTGGGTGAGAGGCTGATGGCTGTTTGCAGGCTGGCCACAGCCCCCAGCCACCCAAGCTCCCAGTGGAGGCTGGCTGGAAGCTGGTATCTGGGATTTATTTATCTTCTATAATTGAAACTTTATTGCCTTGAGTGGAGGCCTCAGCCAGCCAGGGCAGTCGGGAAGCTTGGCTTCCTCCAATGCTGGGGCAACCAAGCCTCCTGTTTGCTCCAGCTCCATGGCTGCTGGCCCCCATATTGGTTGGGTTAATTTGCATATAGTCGCTCTGATTGGCTGGTGGGCATGGCTTGGGGTATAGCAGAGGTGCAGTCAATTTGCATGTTTCTCTTTTACATTATTATTTAAAGTATTACATATGTCTCCTTTTTCCCTGATTGACCCCCACCTGACCACTCCCACCCCTGAGAGCAAGCCACCACTGCCCCAGTGTCTGAGTCTATTGGTTATGTTAATATGCATGCATATAAGTCCTTTGGTTGATCTCTAACCCCCCCTCCCACAACCACCCCCTCCCTCCCCCTGCCTGCCTTCTCTCTGATGTTGGATGGTCTGTTCAGTGCTACCTTGACTCTGAATCTATTTTTGTTCATCAGTTTATGTTGATCATTATATCCCACAAATGAGTGAGATCATGTGATATTTATCTTTCTCTGACTGGCTTATTTTGCTTAGCATAGTGCTCTCCAGTTCCATCCATGCTGTTGCAAAGAATTCCTTCTCTTTTTTTATTTTATAACTCTATATAGTTTCATTAAAACAAAAACTTACAGTGTTGTATGAAGTTTACATTTAGACAAAGTTTTCACAGAAATCTAACACATGCCTAAAAGGATTTTACAATGAAGGTCTAGATGTAGGTCTGGATGTCAAGAGCTGACAGATTTCATGAGTCAAGACAGCATTTTGGGTATTAGTTAATTCTTGGGATAAAAAAAAAAAAAAAGAATTTTTGTTTTGTGTCTTAAAGTGAACCACTGCCCCAATCTGAAAGTGAAAGTTTAATCTTCTCCAGAGACCAGGGCTTTTGAAATAATCCAAATCTTGAAGTGATTCAATATATTTCTGCTGTCAGTGACTGAACCCTGCCAGTCACTGATGAGGCTGACCTGATCCCAGCCAAGGAAGCCAATGTCAAGTGCCCCCAGGTCGTCATATCCTTCTATGGGGAAAGGCTGACATGGCATTCCTATCCCTCAGAGGATGATGACAAAAAAGATGACAAGAATTAACTCTCCTGAGCTCCAGCCCCTGTCCCAATGGTTTCAGAGTTCAAAGTTCAAAAAGCAGAGAGGCTCCAAGAGTTCTTCCGTCCTAAAAACATGGGCCCCTCTCTTCACTCTCACACCTCCTATACCATCCTCTTCTTCTCCCCCCAAATACCTCAGCCAGGAGCTTGGATGGACAAGCTAATATCTATGGCTTCATAATTAGAAAAGAAAGGGTCTTGTCAATTTCAAGAATTAGCACCTCTAAGACAGAATTATCTGCCTATATATATGCTCCAATAAAAGACTTTCCCTTCTCAACTAATTTCCAACCCCCCACCCCTCGCCCCAAATGGCAGCTTTGGTAACTTATCAACTGGCTTAGTCCTTTGTTGGGAACAGAATTAATCTCAGACAGGGAACACCTTGGCCTGTAAGTTTCAGGCACTTACCGCTTTTAAACAGTCTCTCAGAGTCCTCAATTAGATTGCCAATTACATTTTTTAAAAAGAAAATATTCTGGACACAAAAGCAATTCATTAGTTGTTTCTTCTTTTCATTGTTTCGCCCTTTCCCCAACCAGCCCCCAAATTGTGATAAAAACAATCCTACTCATCTCCCTTCCTGCCCCATCCCTCCCACCCCCAAATAATACAGCAGTAATAGCCAAAAACTACACACATGCTACACTGTACAAATGCAGCTCACACTATTGGGAAGAAGGCTGTGGGTTGTGGAGATGCTCTTTGAAGATCTACAGTATCTTTCTGCTCTCACACATACCCTTCTGCAAGTTTTGTCCTTCATAGAAGGCAATTCGCTTTTCTCAGCAAAGTGCAGAATGAATTGCCTTGAAACACTTCCCCTCCTTCCCCTCCACGTGGATAGGTATGCAAACTATACAGCATGGAACGGCTTCAAAGCACTTGGGCTGCTGTAGGGCACAGAACTATACTGGCTCTTCAAAGGACATCTTCTCAAGCCACTTCTATGATATCAAGACAAGTAGAACTCCCTCCCCTCCCCACTTGAAACCCACAGTCAGATGTGACAGCGGCTGGTACTCAGGAGAGTTAATTCTTGTCATCTTTTTTGTCATCATCCTCTGAGGGATAGGAATACCACGTCAGCCTTTCCTCATAGGATATGACAACCTGGGGGCACTTGACATTGGCTTCCTTGGCTGGGACCAGGTCAGCCTCATCAGAGTTTTTCCATTTCATCAGGAACATGAGCTCTGCACTGGAGTCTGTAGCTCTGATAATCCGTTCCGGCTCCAAACCCTGGGCAAAGCTTCGAGGCTTTTCTGGCTCTTCTTTCTTCTTCTTTGGTTTGCTCTCCTCGCCCTTATCTTCAGAATCAGAGTCAGCTTTGCGCTTGCCTCCTTCTGATTTATCTGTCTCCTGTGCTGTTTTCTGTGACTGTAAAAACTCAGCAATGAGGTCGGGCAATCCAAGTTCTCTTCTGGCTCCACGTGTTGTCCTCATCTGAGAACTCCGTCCACTTGAGGAGGTACTCCACTTTGCCCTTTACTTCTCCATGGTCAAGAACTTTTTCCACCACATATTCCTCTTCCTCCTCTTCTAGCACCTCCTCCACTTTCTTCTTGTTTTTTTTCCTTCCCCATAGTGCCCGTCAGTTGTCTGGTATAAAGGGTGACGCTGCTCAGAGCAGCTCTCAAGAGCACAAGAGGAATCGGTGCTGCGCTACTGGTGCCCCAGTCGGGGGGCCAGAGGAGTGGCGCCCAGAAAAACAACAGGCCGGGTGGCCCCATTCAGCCCCTCACTGAAGCAGCATACTGCAGGCCCAAGACAATGGCCCTCTCCTTAGCCCAACAAAAGAGCTTCTCCAAATTTTTTCTTTTTTATAGCAGCGTAATATTCCATTGTGTAGATGTACCACAGGTTTTTATTTTATTTATTTTATTTTATTTTATTTATTTATTTTATTTTATTTTATTTTATTTTATTTTATTTTATTTATTTAGTGGCTCTATTACTTCAGGCCCAATTATGTAGCATTTCATATGAATCAGATAATGAAATGAACATGACCATTGAAGTTACTGATACCTGGGTTCAGACTGGTTTTCACTACCTATTGACTGTGTAAATCTATCAGGTTATTTAAACCCCTTTGGCATCAATTTCCACATCTGTGAATTAAGTGTAGTAATTAAGTTTACCTCACAGAATGATCATGAGCATTAACAACATGTAAATATGCAGAGTGTCTAATATAGACTATGGGATATATGAGGTTCTTCCTAAATATTATAATTATTTTTGCATTGTATTGAAATATCTTGAGAGATAAATTAAGCATTTAGTGCCTCATTTTACAGGGAGAAACTATTCTTCTACAGCTATTATAGGAGACAGTGGAGGCAATATTTTCCCAGTTGAATTTTCTGGGGTTGGGTTGTGTACCCTGTTTTGTAAATTATTTGTACTAACGGCTTGAGTTGGATTAGCAGCCAAAAGAGTGTGTCCTGATGAAGATTATTAAATGAGCTATTTTGACACATTTCAGCTACTTGAAATAGGAAAAGTATTTTTCTTGTGTACACAAATACACTGTATAAACACATACACAAGGAAATAATTTCACTATCCTTAAAAACAAACAAAAGAAAGAACCAAAACAAAAACTCTAGGGGCTTCCAGTTTAAGAGTGGCCTAAACTTTGATACTTTAATATATGAACACCAATTTCATGTCTTAGCAGCACAGATGAAAATCTAGCTTTGAGTGAATTTTAAAAATCAAGTACTTAAGAATTTTGGATAAAAGATTCGAATGGTTTGTACTATTTTATAATTAAAATAAATTGAAAATTATGAGGAATACTAGTATTATTATACTAGAGGCCCAGTGCACAAAATTCATGCACTGGTAGGGTCCCTAGCAGCTGCCAGCTGCCAGCCGGATACTCCCTCTCTTTCCTCAGCCTCCTGCTGCCACTGGGGCCTACCACCCTTCCCCAGCCCCCTGCTGTAGCCTCCAGCTAGCACCTCCCTCTCTTCCTCTGGATGACCCTGCCCCCTGGTTAACTCCCAGACGAACTCCTAGTTGAGGGGACACTTTGCATGCTTGGTTTTATTATATAGGATTATATTCTTTCAAATTCAGGACAAATTGAATTAAAAACAGGTTTTGTTTTTATTAACCCCAAACAATATTTTTTTTCTTAAATAGAGAAGGCTAGTATATAAAGCAACCATATTTGGATAATAAAATATTAACTCCAATTATGCTATATAATAAAGAGGTAATATGCAAATTAACCCTCATGCCCTCACAAGATGGCTGCCTATGACCAGGCTGACAGGGCAATTAGTGAGGGACAACCAAATGACTGAACAAGCAGGCTGCGTGGGGCAACCACGCCAACAGGGGGCAATCAGTCCAGCAGGGGGGGACAATTAGGGGCAACCAGGCTGGCAGAGGGGGGCAGTAAGAGCCAACCAGCGTGACAGAGGGAGTGTAGTTGGGGGCGACCAGGCCAGCAGGGGGGCAGTTAGGGGCAATCAAGCTGGCACACAGAAGTAGTGAGGGGCAATCAGACCATCAGGGCGGGGCAGTTAGAGGTGACCAGGCAGGCAGGAAGGTGAGCGGTTAAGAGCCAGCAGTCCAGGATTGGGAGAGGGATGTCTGACTGCCGGTTTAGGCCCGATCCCTGTCGGGCCTAAACCGGCAGTCGGACATCCCCCAAGGAGTCCTGGATTGGAGAGGGTGCAGGCTGGCCTGAGACCCCTCCCACAACCCCACATGAATTTCATGCACAGGACCTCCAGTATTGTCATGATTTGCATGTGTCCCTCATGCCTTGGTTTTAAAAAATATGAAAACCTTCATGACATTTTAAGTATCTTCAGAGACCCAAGAAACTTGAGTGTATGCATGGTCTTATCTAAAAGTTGAAAAATTTACAATTCCTTCTTATGAATAAATATGAATTTTTATATTATGCAATAGCTGTTATCTAGAGGGAAGGTATTTATTGTTTTTGTTAGTAATGGAAAAATGCTAATTTATAATTCCACTTAAATAATGCTATTCTTTCTCTATACTGGTGCTTGACAGCTGTCATCTTCTGTTATTTGTATATTCTAATAAGTGAACATACATGTTTCACACTCCTGGTGTAGGACAGTGTAATTTTAGGATGCATTTTTGATCTGGTGAGATAATGTCTTTCCCCTCTAGCATTAAAGGCAATAAATAGCATCTTTCTAGATAATACAAATAAGGAAACATCGTTAATTTATACAGTGGAATGGCGATATCACATGGTCTAAATTATTTGGCAAGAAAATTCATATTATATGGGTTTAACTTATTTTTTCTTATAAAGTCTAGTTACCCAAAGTAACAGAAATTTTATGCTAACATAACTTCACTGAAATCAGAGGGGATCAATATATTGGGTTATCAGTATTATTTACCATTGTGTCCTATATGTTAAGATTGCTTTTACTTTGAGGGTCTCCCTCCCTGAGTGGCCCATTTAAAAATGCAAATAATTCTTGAAAAGGTGAAAGATTAAGATAATGCACTTATGAGTGCATTAGTTGGTTTATTTTGTGTTAATGTGGACTTGAGGACTTTATAGAGGAAAGGACTCAGAAAAGGAGACATGAGGAGATGCTGAGCAAGTTAACCCCTCTTCACTGTGTGTCTAAGGCTGGTGGTGAATGGCATAGCTAGTACTCCCAACAACCCCTTCTTCCCTGACTAGCCTCAGGTCATTGTGTGTGTTCAAAGAATCCCTCTTACCCTAGTGTCTGCTGGGATTCTCTCTATCTTTCCTGTAAGAAAGAGTTCTAAAGATAAAAGCAATATAACAATTTAAACAACTAATTTTTCCATGTTTTAATTCTAAAGCCCAGAATATGTGTGTTTGATTTCTTTTGAATTAAGGAAAAAAAATTAGTTTGGTAGGTAGCCACAGGGATATATGATGTCTGTTCCAAAACCACTCTGGTCTAACAATATCTATTTAGAAATTTTTATGAAAAACTAAGCTTTAGCCACTAGTTGGTCCAGCTAAAAGCTGGAGAAGAAAAACAGACAACAAAGCTAAAAATATCACAAAACAATCATTGCCAGCAAAATAAATCACTTCTTCAATCTCTACAACAGGGGAGAAAACTTAACATATGCAGATGCTATAATAATTTTCATGTCAATGATTGCTTAATAATTAATCAGCTGATTATTAATTACTAGAGGCCCGTTGCACGAAGAGATTCATGCAATAGGCCTTCCCTTCCCTTGGCTGCTGACACTAGTTTTCCTCTGGCACCTGTGACCCAGGCCTTCGCTCCGGCCAGAGCCTTCAGTCTTCGCAGCTCTGGATGGAGCCTTCAGACTTTGCTCCACCACTTCACCCCTATGTATGCAAATTAACTGCCATCTTTGTTGGGTTAATTTGCATACTCTCCTGATTGGATGGTGAGGGTAGCAGAGGGACGGTTAATTTACATGTTTGTCTATTATTAGGTAAGATCATCTCAACAAGCTTGGGACCTGAAGACACATATAATAATGCAATGATTTCTATGCTTTTCTTTCCTTTCACAGTGAAATGCGCCATGAAAGACACCGTTAAGTGTTTTGTCACGTATGGCAAGTGTAGAGCTCAGTGCCATATAGGAGAAAAAAAAATTGGTCTCTGCTTACAAGGAACAGCCTCCTGTTGTAAATAGATGTCTGAAATTAAAATCAGCTTCCCTGCAAAATAAAGCACAGTGAATGTGACTAATAAATGGAACTGAATTATCATCTACTCTTAACATGGTGTGTGGTGCTTTCCTGGTCACACCGCATCACTTGAGGAACTAGGTTCTTTCCTAAGGATCTAGCAATAGCCGAAGATATTCAATATATAGGGTTGTTCTGTGGAAACATGCCATCATTTTGGATGTAAGTTCTTTATTAATTGGCAGGAAAATGCTAAATGATACAAAAAAAAACCCCTATTATTATCAGGATTCTTCAATTCAAAGGTATTTCAACTTATCAGAACATTTCTCCAAGTGAGGGAGGAGTTGAAAGACACCAAAGAAATGAAACAAATAGGATCTTCAGCAGGTTATGGATCAGGGGACCTGATTCAATGTGAGCAGGAAGTCCTAACATCAGTTACATCCTTCAGTTTTTTGCGTTTGTTTTCTCAAATAGGGAACTTAAAAAAAGAGACCATATTTAAAACTAACTGTAGATGTATGGCAATGAAAACAGGCAACAGGGAGCTCTAATGAAAGTTGGAAGAGTTCCACAGCTAACACCTAGAGAGCAGGGGACAAAAATTCAGTCGATCACTACAAATGATAATTCTTGCTCACTAAAAAACATTAGAAACTTTATTTACAGTCATATATCTATATTGTATATTAATGTGTGGTTTTGAAACACTTTGTGATGGAGAAATGTTTTTGACTGACACAAAATGTCTAGGAGGTAATGCAGTGTTCATGGAATATATCAGGCAACTAACAAGAGAATTGTACTTAACAGCACAAATACTGGAACCAAATTACCAAGGTTCTAATTTGGGGGAGTGATCACTGTGGGATTTCTTAAGTAAATCTGATTTGTTAAGTAATGTTTTGAG